TTTGGAAATCGAATTTCCCAGAGGAACCCACCCGAGGGATTAATAAATTTCTATCTTATCTTATATACTTTTTTGCCCCACTGTATAATGAAGGGGAAAATATCTACAGAGACAAACAGTTTGCGTATCAGGCTGTAAACATGTTTATTTCTGCTGTAAAGTTTTAACATGCAAGTCTGTGGGACATTTCAGGAAGTGCAGCTTTCAGGCTGTCAGTGTGATCATGCCCGCACTCAGAAGAGGGAGACCAAAAGACTGATCATAGATTACTTCTGGATGTTTGGTTGAATTTTTTACTTCAGTCTCCATTTAATGTGATTCAGGCAACAAATTTACTTGGCTGAGTTGAAAAAGCTCGATCATTTCACGTGTCTCTGTGAGATAAGCATGTGAAAGCTACACAGGCAGCTAACACTGGATTTTATACTCATTGCTCTTCTTTCCATACTACAAAATCACTTTTTTGGTCATTTTTCCATCAAACAATGGGATCTGTTAATTTGTACTTTAGATAAATAATATTTGTTAAAATCTTTAACCAAAAAGTAAAACAGAGGTTGTTGACGGAAACACCAACAGCAAAAAAAAAAAAAAAAAAAAAGCACTTTTTTTGCTGTTGTGGTTGTTTTTGTGGGTAACTGGTGGTTTGCCCATTTTCTGTTTAAACTGTGGTTCCAGCTGTCAGCTCAGAGTCAGTGCTGTAAATCTGTGTCCCGTCACCTAACCCAACACTCAGGTGAACAATGAGAAAAAAAACATCAGGCAACAAGTGCATCAAATCAGTCTGCAAGATTTACAATACACATCACTGCCAGACCCAGTGCAACAACAGAAAGATTCTCTTATCACAAATTGACATCAACATTTGCACGATGGCGGTTTGGTGTTTCTGTACAGCAGAGAGGAAGGCAGTCAGAAAGGTCAGCTAGAAAACTCATATTTACAGAATAAGTACTAGAACCCGAACTGCTCACACCACCAGCCAGATGTGCATGCAGAGGAGCGTCCTGGCTTACATGGAAACACAAGGGTCCGTAGACAGGAACGCACAGATACTGAGCATGCTCACTGTTTTCCTCATCCTCTTCTTCTTCATGACAGCTGCAAATACAAATCGTTCACATCTTTTCAGAAGAAAAGCCCCGCCCACTGTCTGTGGCTAACACACCGTGGGGCATTCACATGTTCAGGGCTGTAGGCAGCAGATCACAAACTACTGATGTGGGGTAAAAGGAAATATATCATTATTTCAAAAAATGAAAACAAGAATAAAAAATCGAACAAATAAAATCCATGAAATGAAATTAAAAAAAAAAAAGATAATTTCCCTGTTGTAGCACGTACACCTGAAGATAAACTTTCCCATTCACCAACACTAATAAATAATAATAACAAAAAATATGATGACTGAAAGAAAATAACGTGAAAATAATAATAATAATAATAATAATAATAATAATGCATTACATGATATATTTCATCACTGGGTGCAGGCTGTAAATATCTGCTGTCCCACCCATAATAGGACAAACGCTGCAGTCTTTAGCGGCTAACAGCCTCCACCCAGGACAAATATGTACTTATAAAAGAGACTCAGAAGACTGCAAAACAAATGGCGAGTCCCAACCTTCAACATGTCCTCAGAACATTTTCTACAAACACAGAGGGTCTGTCAGGTTCAGAAGTGTGACAGTGTGATAATAAACCCTCCGTCACCATCCGTCTCATCCTGGTTTCTACTGGGACAGGTTTAGTCTAACTTAGCACAAAGACTGCAAGCCCAGCTAAGTGAATTCCAGTGATTGGAGATAAAGTTCAAATCAGCTGAGGACCTCTGAGCCTAAACTAAACGCTCTGTCTGCTTTATGTATTTTCTACATTATCTTTCAAAGGAGTACGGTAGACCTAATATGAAAGTAATGCAGGTAATTTAAAAGGTTAAAGCTTGATTAAAACACAAGTCTGGTTAGCTCAGATTAAGCTTCTGGCTCTAAAGTCCACCTCCAGATAGTCAAATTCAGCTAAATGGACTAGTAACTGACTAAGAAGATTCAACATATAATAAATGTGAAGCGTTGACCCCAGCTGCCAGTCTCTGTGCTAAACATATTTCAGAATGATCCAATGGTGTCTTAGTGCTGGCTCGCTAAGCCACCATTCAGGACAAAGATACGTTGGTGGTGGTGATGTCCTCTCAGCAAGAAGCAGAGATCCACCTTCAGTCAGGCGGCTGCTATTTTACCAGCGGAAAAATCCTCCCAGAAGAAAAAGAGAGAACAATAAACAACTACAGTCCAAATCAGAGTCAGTTTTAGTGTGACCTGTAGACCTGCTTCTCCACAGCAGGTCTGAAGCATTTAAGCTAACCCATCACTTCCATTGTGGACACATGATGCAGCTACCAAAGCCTACTCTGAGTCTGGTGTGGTTCAAGCTGTAGACCGCCAACGCCTGCCGTCTTCCAGCGCAGTGGGTGGTAGTGTGGGAGAGTCTTTTTGGGGCCTAAAGTGCAGACACCCGCACAATGTTGGCCTGGGAGTAGTCAGTGGAGCTGGTGGATTCATCACCTTCAGGGGTGGTGCCAGGTGGCGTGGGCATGCTGATGATAGCGGAGGTGATGTAGGGTTGGTCACAGTTTAAAGGAACTGTCTCCTCAAATTTGGCATTGAGACTGGATCGACTGGAACGACTAGAGAGAGGCAAAGGAGAGATACTTAGTACTTAGTCTTCACAAGCAAAGGTGAATTTTGAGCAGTTCAAATGGACTTTAGTTCAACTTCCTGTCATGTGTTTCAGTTGTAAACACATCAATTCATCTCAGTTCCCTTTTAGTACTGCTGACTTCTCCACTCCTATGTTGGCCCATCCCATGCTTCTCAGTCTCAGTTTAAACATTTAATATGTTTTTTATGTTCTGTTGTGAAGAAAATTTGGGTTTATAAGAATGTAAATGTAAATGATTTTACATTAAAATTCAAATTATATTTTATCATCTGAATTATATTTTTTATCTAAATCAAGGTTAAAGAATTACATCTCTTGCTCAGTTCTTTTTTTCTGCACCAATTTTAAGTCATTTATACTAGTTTTACAACTGAGGTATACAATAAGGTTTGGATTTGTCAGTACTGAATTTTAATACTTGAAGTTTTACTCAAATGATTGATGAACACGACCTTTGTGTAAAAGCGCAGATCATGTAAACCTAATTCCAGAAGCTCTAAAAGAAAGGATAGAGCCTCCTCTACATCATCCAATGCTTCCAGTAAAGATAGCTCACATGCCTGTACTGACAGCTCTAAAATGCCCTCATTCCTGAAAACTCCTCAAACGCACCAAAATTTCCAAAATAAACTCAACCTCTAATACTTGGAATCCTGAAACTTGCATAAAGATCACTTTAAAATCTATAAAAACATTTAACTCTAAAATGACCTTTTCTAAAAGTACTTTTGGTATCTCTAGCAGGATCAAATCTTCTAAAAATAATGTCACTAGCTGAGCCCACGTCCTTATTTTAGGTGTGACTGTTTTAGTAGATAAAGGTGAATGGCTTGGACGTGAATTGAGCTGCGGTTTGGGGAAGGCCTCGAAGGGGACGGCGGCTCCCAGGCCTAGCGGGTCCCCATGTACTAAATAGAAGTGAAGTTAAAGAATATAAAAGGGGAGGGAGGAGGCTGGGGCATGTAAATGAGAATGAACAGCTTGTAGAACTGGGGGAACATGTATAGATAAGAATCCGAAGGAGCGTGTTTGGAGGCGTGGTCCTGCTCCTGAAATTCCGATGCTTTATCTCCAATTAAATCCACTTCCATACATCTAGAACCTTTGCAAGAGTGTCTGTTTTTTTTTTTCCTTTAACCTGATGGACCCCAAAGGGTTTTCTGAGTTTCCTGTTCGAAAATAAAATGCCAACAATTGAGTATTTCTCTGCAATTACAAACTCTGTGTATACAATCTTGGTATCAAAATTTCATCAGAGGTGTAAATATTGCAGCAGATATTACTGTGTCAAAGTTACTGACACTGGAACACAGAAAATGTAAGTAGATTTTATCCTCACCTAATTTTTTTTATTTATTTTGTAGCATATAACCATTTTAAAATGTGACTCCGTTCATATTTCATTCCAGAAATTCAGTAACCAACATATAAACATCATATGTGCAAAGATTTATGTTTCTAAAGTGAAACAGTGTAATGGAATACAAGCATGCTGATCCACACAGGTATGCACACAGGTGTACACACGGGTGTTCACAGACGCGGACTACACCTTTCTTGGCTGCTGCCTCAAAGCACATTGTGCGCTGTCTATCTTGCGTGCTGCACAATATCGTTTATTATTTAGTATCTACTGATATCTACTGCTAGCTAGTTTATTGTGATGGTGCTGTTTTTTTTATTATGTTGCTCTTTGTTGTTTGCTTTCTCTTCTGTTTTTTTTCTCCATACAGGTGATCCAGGTGTTTTGTTTGTTTGTTTGTTTGTTTGTTTTTTTTTCTTTCTTCCCCCCTTCTCACCGTCTCTTCTCCCCTTTGGTTTTCTTTCTCTCCCTCTCTTTCTTTCATTCTTTCTCCCTGTCCTATCCCCCAGTCATGTCTGTCCCGTTTGTAGCAACTGAAAATAAAATAAATTCATAATTATAATAAAGGTCAATCAAATGGACCAATATGGCAAGGCCATGATGATCCACTTGGTAAAATAAATCCGCTTGGCATCTTTCTTGGCCTTAAGACAACAATTCTGATGGCTAAAAATCCAAAAAGGTCAAAAAAAAAAAAAAAAAAAAAAGAAAAGTGAAAAAGTGAAAAATTACAGCACTGTCAATACATAAATATCCAGACATTGTACAAAAATGTCCAATTTTGGCACACATTGGACACTATGTTAGTTGAATTTTGTAGGTATTAAAGAGCAGAAATGATTTAATTTTATTAACAGGCCTAAAAATGCGTGTTTTTGAATATTTTTTAACCACACATTTACATGGCAATGGCGCTTTTCTGCCGTGGGCATGGAGCGCCTCTGGCCCTTTAAACTCTGATGGGGCTGTACGTTTGGTTTCTTTTGGCCAATTTGCATAATTGACACCTCTTTTTAATCGTTTGAGCCAATAAGATCACAGTAATGATGCCACACTCACGTTACTTCAACCACTCAGAAGTTACAAGGCCAAACCGCACGTGGTCCCAAATTTACTGCATGTGGCGTCTGTCTAGTCACGTGTCTGTAGGTGGGTCTAAAATGGAGGTTGTTGACAGAAAATGGCTCTGATCTGGCTAGTTAGCCGTGGAAACTGCTGATAAACATGAGGCTACCAGCTACTGGTGAAAGTAACGGAGGAAATCGGGACGGTAAGCCAATTTCTGTCTTAGCGCATTTGCGCCGCTATGCGTTTTTGTGGTCTTCTTTTGCGGCTCATTCAGTGAATTTTGGTCAGAGTGTGGTGAAACTTGGTGTTACATGGTGTTATAGTTACATGAAGTCTGAAGAATCTCTGGTTCGGTTTTGTTTGTTTAGCGGACATTTGGCATTTACCTAGCTGCTCTTTTAATCATGGCTTGTTTTAGTTGTGTTTGGTGGTTGTAGAAATGGTTTATATGAGAGTTTAGCTGAGATTCAGAGGTTTCTGTGGATATCACACGTCAGGACTTATATTTCTGACCCCGTGTTATAACCAATTATACGTGAACTCGTTCCTTTTGCCCCCGGTACCCGGGGCCGATCAGGTTAAAGGGCTTGTGAAATCTCTGGTAGCTCCTGGTAGAGCTTTCTTCAAGGATCATGCGCTGTAAATGTTCTTAAGAATTTTTCTTTTTTTCTTAATGACGTTTGCAAAGTCCACGTAGATACTGGAAGCTCATCAGGAACTTAAGACCCTTCAGAAGAACCTTTGTAACCTTCTGGAATATCCTTAAAGTCAGTAGGACCCCCTGCAATTTTCACAGTCATGTCTTCTGGGTGATTTTATTTCTTTATGGAGATCAAATATGACTAGAAGTAAACAAAGAGATGTAAATGTTGGATGTAACCGTATGACTGTAAAAAACAGAGTTGCAGTGCTGTCTAACATACCTGTTGGTTAGTGGTCGCTCCCTGATCTGGATGGTGCTCAGCTCCTGGAGACTGCCCTGCAGACCCACAGACATGTTGGAGTTTGGGACGTTGAAGGTCTTCCTCTTCCTGCGGCCACAGCAGGAGCTTAGGCCATGAGTTGAAGAGGATGAGATGGAGGAAGAGCAAGAAACCTGCTTCAGCAGTGTAACATCCTTGCAGGTCGCCTCATACGTCTTCTCATCTACAAACTCGTGATTCTGAGAAAAAGCAAAGCTGCAGTTTTACAGGATGGCAGGTAAAGGAGAATCTGCTATGAACTAGATAGATGTCCAAATTCAAACAGTAAACAATCAAACTGAATATTTTTTGTTTACCACTGAAAAATTGGAAAAAAATTAATCTCCAGGTAAGGTAAATGATAGTCATTCTCATTAATTAAAAATATAATGATCTAGATTCAATTTAGGCTCTTTGAAGTTTTAGAAGTTTCATTGAGAATTTTTTAAGTGTTAAATCTATAAAATCTGGGAAAACATGTAAAGGAGTAAACTGTTAATCAGTTGGTCAAATAAAGTGAAAGTGTGTGTGTGTGTGTGTGTGTGTGTGTGTGTGTGTGTGTGTGTG